TTAATATGAGTGTTTGTCAAAGTTCATCAAACTATGAGCCTAAAATAGTCACACTTCATTAAATGTAAATTTGACCTCAATAACATGGATTTTAAAAATACATTTTGTAATCATTTTATTTAAGACTAAAAATATTTCTGAGCGCCAGATTTTTGCTTCTTCAGACATTTGGCCAAAACATTGTAAATGTTTTTCTAGAGGCTAGAATAACATTTACCTTATAGGGTGTTTGAAAACAGAGTGATAGGCTGGGTCAGTAGCTTAGCTTCTGCTTTTGTGCACTAATTGTTATTATAATTGTTAGCTTTTATTATAGTTTAGCTTGTTTAGTTACAATTACAAACTCTGGAGTTGGAGTCATAGCTATGTGGATTTGAACAAGTTATTCAACTTCTAATTCTCAATTAACTCACCTGTAAGTTAGAAGAATGAATAACTCTTCCTTACAGTGTTGTTTTTGGGTTTTAATAAAGTATTCAGTGATCATTCATGGCCCTTTACCTTACCTTACCATAGTATTTTGAGTTCCTTTAAAAGAATTTAAATATTAGTGTATTTGTACTGGATGTTGTTACTGTGGGAGATTTTAAAAAATTCACTTCTGCTTAATTAAAAAAATTAATAAAATCAGGCTGTGATTCTGTTATTATTTCTGGGTATATGCTTTATAGGAGGAATGGCTGATTCTGTATTGCACACGGATATTTTTTGGCCAGTGTTAAAATTCACGCCTGTAATCCCAGCACTTTGGGAGGCCAGGGCGGGTGGATCACGAGGTCAAGAGATCGAGACCATCCTGGTCAACATAGTGAAACCCCGTCTCTACTAAAAATACAAAAAAAAAGCAGCTGGGCATGGTGGTGCATGCCCGTAATCCCAGCTACTCAGGAGGCTGAGGCAGGAGAATTGCCTGAACCCAGGAGGCGGAGGTTGCGGTGAGCCGAGATGGCACCATTGCACTCCAGCCTGGGTAACAAGAGCAAAACTCCGTCTCAAAAAAAAAAAAAAAAAATTTAGTTGACCCTGGAATAATACTGCCACTGTAACCAGAGGATCATTTCTCCCTTAAAAAACTGTGCTTATCAGGAGTTATTAAGTTGTGATTTAAACATGAGCTTTGGAAAATCTGTGAACTTCGTATAATTATGTGCAGCACTTTGTACACATACCTCTTCTGCCTTGTCTAACTTAATAGTCATTCGTTTTATCTTTGGTCTGTCAGCTTTCTCACGTTCATTCCCAAAGAATATCTAGTTTGTTTTCTTGCCACAGAGTTAGTATTCAAGTACTAATAACTTGGTAATACATTTACCATTATAGAAATTCAGGACTCGATGCTCCTTTGTTCTGCTTTTATAGGCAGCCAGGCAGGCCCAAGGATTACAACTTAATTTGGGATTAGAGACTGTTTAAAATATTCCGTGTGTTTGTTAGATACAATATTTTTTGTGTCACAGAAGTTTGACATTTTTCATATCCTCCATAAACAAAAACAAAAGCAGAAGTAAACAGAGGTAATTCTTAAATTTAAAAGTGTCTCTAATTTTGGGTTGACCTTAGTCTGATTTTCATTTGGTCACCTTATTTTTAACGCGATTGAAGTCCTTTTTGAGTTCTTCATGTTGAAAGTTCAAGCATTATTCTCTACAAAGGTGGATATAAGCAAAATAGCCACAAAAAGGTAATTACTATATGTTTGCATCCCCTCAAGTTAGTTGTGATTCTTTAGGAAAATGTAGCCATGACTTAAATCTGATTAATATTGAATTCACAGTTTTCTTTACAACAAGGGATCTATCTTCTATCCCTAAAGTGATTAAAATTTTTAACAACTTTTGTCTAGAATGGGAGAAATAAATAGCATTCTCTATTCTTTGATTTGAGGCTAGTTTTATTACTCTGTTGCTCGAGCTCTGAAGAACAAATACAATACTTGGTTTATTTTGTCTCTGAAGCAATGCTCTCTCACCAGTATCTTTGTTTTTTGTTCAGTTGAGTAAAATCTTGCTTTGCAATGCTTATTTACTTGTGTTTAAAGAAAATCTGGACAAAATGACAGTTTAAGTTATGAAGCTCTTTTTAATATGTCATGTGACATAAATACGTAGTCTTTCAGTATTCAGAATTCTAAAAGATTTATTTATATAGGTTGCTAGTCATTGCTCTAAAAATTTTGAAAAACTTTTGAAGCATTTTTTTTCCCTGCTTTGCTTTGGAGGTTTCCTTTAGGAATCAAAAAACAAGGTTATCTACCAGCTGTTTCTCCTTAATCACTCTCTGTATTTTCTTTAAATATTGATTTTCAATGAAGGTTTTGTGAAGTTTTTAATGTCCATTGGATTTAGAAACACATTTAAGTATGGTTTTTAAAATAAGTGCTGGGGCTATTAATGAGAGTTTATGTTACATGTTTATAGAAGTTTCTGCAATAATAGAATTTCTTGGAAATGTAATATTGTATCTAATAAATTCTGGGTAAGATTTTGGGTGATCATCAAAATAGGCCATGTTCCAAAGTTTGTTTTTATGTTGGTTACTGGAAACTTAGAATGTATTTTCTCATTGAAACATAGTGATAAATGATAATGAAGTTCCCAAGATATTTATATTTTTTAATCAAGACAGAGTCATGCTCTGTTGCCCAGACTGGAGTGCAGTGGCATGATCTTGGCTCACTGCAACCTCCCCCACCTGGGTTCCAGCTATTCTCATGCCTCACCCTCCCAAGTAGCTGACACTACAGGCGTGTGCCACCATGCCTAGCTAATTTTTGTATTTTTTAGTGGAGACGGGGTTTCACTGTGTTGGTCAGGCTGATCTCGAACTCCTGACCTCGGGTGATTCACCCACCTTGGCATCCCAAAGTGCTGGGATTACAGGCATGAACCACTGCCCCCAGCCCCCCAAAATATTTCTTAATACCCCATGTTACTGAGTGTGACTAGTGTGCCTTGTAAATAGTTTTAACTTTGGGTTCAAAGGAACAGTTTTCCCTCAATACCCCTTGATGAGTAAAAGTGAGTCTTCTGCAGCTCTAGCAGTAGCAGGAGTGGAGAGGAGAGGAATGTTCCAGATACCATCAGGGGTGATAGAGACAGTTGCCCCCTCTGCAGCTTTAGTTTCAAATTGTTTAATAGAAGCAAGGCTAATTAGCCAAAGGAAGCAGGATGCCTTAAGTGGTTGGGCATGTTTTAGGAGAAGGCTTAAAGATAGGAGTAGGCTAAATCAGTTATAGAAGCAGCAGAGAGACAGCTGAAGGTAGAAGTGAAAGGCAGTTATTAATACTTAGTCTAGGACACCATGAGTAAGATGTGACTTTTATCACAAGAGTACAGAATGTGAGGTTTAGTGCAACTCTTAGTTTTAAGGAATGTGGATGACATGCTATAATGAAACAATTTTTATATCTTGTAGGCCATTTCTGCTCTCTAAAATAAAATCTAGATCCTCCCAGTTTGGGAATGTACAAGGGATCCAGTTTCTTCACATCCTCACCAACACTAGTTTTCTTTTCTTCTTCTTTTTTTTTTTAATGACCATCCTAATGGATGTGAAATGGTCCTACCAATTGTAACGCTCTCGGTTCTGGATTTTTCTTTGGGGACACATTTTTTTTCTTTGATTCATTGACACTTATTCATAGATTCACACTCACATATTGAATGAATCAATCAACAGTTCTTTACGAGTGAGTTGCTGGTGGACACAAAGATGAGCAAGAGATGCTTCCTGTACTTTTGACTGAGCTCATATCCTAGTAGGGGACGATAGATGATAATTCAGAATGAGAAATGTTGTAGTGGTAGTTACCACAGATGCTTTGAAAGTACAGTAGAGGGTTATTTAATTTATGTAACGCCAGCAACAGGAATAAGGCATACTACCTCCAAAAATATTTGGCATTGCTTTTTTTTTTTTCTTTTTTTTAGCAGCCCTGAAGAAACAGGGCTCAGCATTGCTTTACAAGTATTAGCTGATGCAATTAGAGAAAAGAGATAAATTTAGAGGAATAAAATGTAGAAAATAATTTAAATAATAAAATAATTCAGTAAGGTAGCATGTTAAAAATTAACATCTAGAATCAGTAGCCTTAAATACACAGGAGGCTAACAGGTAGGGCATACAATTATAGAGAAAACTCCATTTTTAACAACAACAAAGAAGATAAACTCTGGAATAAACTTATCAAGAAATGTGTGAAAATTTATGAAGAATGCTTTAGTGTACTCCTGAAAAGACATTTTTTTTTTTTTGCTATTGCATAGGATGATTCAACATTGTAAAAGGTAGTTAAAAATTAAGCTAAAAGTAAGTACAGAAAATGAAATAATGAAGATTAAAGGAGAAATGAAGAGAATAGAAAACAGTAGATGTAATTGATAAGTCAAAATCCTGATTTTTAAAATTAAGGAAGTAGAGAAACCACTGAGTATCAAGCAAAGGGAAAAAAAAAAGCACAAATAAGCAAAATGAGATGATAATTGGAACAGTGAAAATTTTTAACATAGTATAAGAGATTTCTTTGCAGTCCTCTATACAAATATATTTGGAAACCTAGGTGATAGAGATAATTTCCTAGAAAATACTGTTTCCCAAAATTGAGACAGAAAGCTAAAATCAGTGGTATCCATTGGAAAAAACAATAGAGAAAGTTACAAGAAACAAACTGAAAAGCACCAGGCCCACGTGGTTTCACGGGGTCATTCTATCTGCCAAAATATCAAAGACCAGATAGGTTTAATGTTATACAGAATAGAAAAAGGTAAGAGATGGAAGAGGAATTTCTGAATTCTTTTTTTTTTTTTCCCCCTAGATAAAGTCTGTGTTGCCCAGGCTGGAGTGCAGTGATACTATCTCAGCTTACTGCAACTTCTGCCTTCTGGGTTCAAGCAATTCTTGTGCCTCAGCCTCCTGAGTAGCTGGGATTACAGGTGTGTGCCACCACACCCAGCTAATTTTTGTATCTTTAGTAAAGATGAGGTTTTACCATTTTGGCCTGACTGGTCTTGAACTCCTGACCTCAGGTGATCTGCCTGTCTTGGCCTCCCAAAGTGTGAGGATTGTAGGGGTGAACCACCACACCTGGTGTCTGAATTCTTTTTGGCAAATAAAGTTGTGATTGATACCTAAGCCTGGTAAAGACAGTACAGAAAAGGAAATTACAATCCAATATGAATATAGAAGAAAAAACAAAACGAGCAAAAAAGTCTAATATAAAGTTAGTAATAATATATACCTTCTAAAATTTGTTTGTGTTGAATTTAATTCATTTATTTTAATACTTTTAGTGATATAACTGTTGAAGGTTACGAATTCTCCTTTGACCATTGTTTTACATTTGTACTATAGTTTCTGTTATGTAGTATTTTTGTTATCATTCTTTCAGTCTAGTTTGTATTTTCCCTTTCATGTACAAATTGCTTAATAAAACATTTACTTTTCAAGTAGAAAGGCCTTTTGCTTTTTAAAATTTTGTTATTAACTTCTAGTTTGTTGTATTTCGATTTGATACTGTAATATCTCTACCTTGTGGCACTTACTCATGCTTTCTTTGAGATCAAATGGAGGATCATATGTATACACACAGACAACATAAGATCTTCCGTAAGATTTTGTTGCTTCAGTGTTGTGTATCTTTTTTTTCGTCCACTTGATCTGTCTTGTACTGAGAGTGATGTGTTAAAATGTCTTAGTATTTGTGTGCTTCTGTTTATATCTCGTTGCATCTCCTGTAGTTTTTGGCTTCAGGTAGTTGCTGCATTATTTGGTACATAGGTATTTATAACTGTTTATATTTCACTTAAGAATTGTAGATTTTAGCATTAATACCTAGTATTAGCCATTAATACCTTTTGGCTTGAATTCTGCTGTGTCTGATATCAGCATAACAATCACTGCTTTCTGTTTTCATTAACCTAGTGTCACTTTTTCTTTTTAGCCTTTTTCTGTTTTTGGTGTCTCTTGTATATAGTGTATATTTGGGTCTTGTTTTAGGAGAAAAATTTAAAATCTTTTTTGTTTAAGCCTGAAATGTATTTGAGTTGTGAAATAAAGGCAGGTTTTTTTTGATAGCCTGATTTGGCCTTTGGTCGATAGTGGGTGTTTACCATAAATTGAATGAGCTGTTTGCTGCTGTATGGTTTGGGTGAAAGTATATTTGAAACATATGATAAGGCAAAAGCATTTTATAAAACAGATATTATTTCGGCAGAAGGATATTGAAATTAACAATATTTTGATGTTTTCTACCTTTTGGAGTATATCAAATTAAACTGCTAAGGGAAACAGTAGCAGGTATAATTAATAATCATTTGACAAGTCATAGTAATACTGTTTTGGAATACTTCCCAGAAATGGAAAAACTGAGTAATTGTAGCAAATGTATAATGCATCCTACTGTAAGTCATGTAGTTTCTAGTTATTTGCTTTCAACAAATTGTAAGAGGACCTAACATCAATTGCTACAACATTAAAAATGATTTCTGGTGGTAGATCACAATGTGAGTTTTCTTTTTAGCCTTTCTGTTATGACCCTGTTATAACAAAACTCAGAGTGATTTACTTCTTAATATGAATTACATTTCTTAGTGATTATACTTGAAATAAGTGAATAAGAGTACAATTGAGAACCTATCATTTTGGCAGTAAGAAATATTCTTTCGTATATATACATCAATATAAAGAAAAAAAGGTCTATAAATGTTAGTGAGATTCATCATAGCCATTAATTTTTTTGAAATGGAGCCTTGCTCTGTCTCCAGAGTGGAGTGCAGCGGCGTAATCTTGGCTCACTGCAACCTCCACCTCCTGGGTTCAAGCGATTTTCCTGCCTCAGCCTCCCAAATAGTTGGGACTACAGGCATGCACCACCACGCTGAGCTAATTTTTTTTGTATTTTTAGTAGAGACAGGGTTTTACCATGTTGGCCAGGATGGTCTCGATCTGCAGACCTCATGATACACCTGCCTTGGTCTCCCAAAGTGCTGGGATTGCAGGCGTGAGCCACAATGCCCGCCTAGTATTTTACTTTTTGTTTAAAAATTCTGTATTAAAGTTTGTAATATTTATTTGATTATCTGCTAATAATAATTGCAATAATGGCTCATTGCACAAAATATTTTTTAACTTACATGGAAATAGAAACTTCTGTAATTTTAATTAATATGCCTATTTTTGATGCATAGAATTATGGCAGAATGAGAAAAGACTTTTAGTTATAAAATATGAAATTAGGATAAAATTATTTGGAGAGAGTACAGTAAAATGCAAGTTAAACAAGATACAACTTTAAAAATTTCTGATATATTTAACAGAATTTGTGTATTTTTTTAAGTAGATAAGGGCGGATGTCAGCTTGCTATGATATTTCAGTTTCTTTGGATACACTTTAAAGAGTGACATAATTTTATTTTAAAATGTAAATATTTATAGTAAATTAGAAAGTACGTCCTTTGCAAGTACTAAAATGTGAATTAGAACTTTAGCTTTAAAAAAATTTTACATACTTTTAAGAAATATGCAAGCATATGTGTAATTTTCTAAATTCCTTTGTGGAGTATGAGCATTCAAGCTTGAACACTGTTGCCATAGATTTATTTGAAAAAGAAGCTAAGTTAGAGATGGTTATTATGGAATGCAGAGGAGGTATACATTTTTATCCTGATTTACGCATGGATAGGCAAATATGGTAGTTTAAGAAATGGCTGGATAATTTTTTTTTTTTTTTGAGACAGTCTTGTCGCCTAGGCTGGATGGAGTACAGTGGTACGATCACGGCTCAGTGCAGCCATCGCCTCCTGGGCTCAAGTGATCCTCCCACCTCAACCTCTCTAGTAGTTGGGACACCATGATGTCTGACAAGTTTTTAATTTTTTGTAGAGATGGGGTCTCACTATGTTGCTCAGGCTGGTCTCCAACTCCTGGGCTCTAACAGTCCTCCTGCCTTGGCCTCCCAAAGTGTTGGGAGTTTACAGGGGTCAGCAAGCGTGCCTGGACAATCAAAAGGGTCTCTTGAACTTGAACATAGAAGTCTTAGTTAATTTTTTGAGCTCAGTTATACCAAAAATTGAAATCTTATTTTTCTTTTCTTGTATATAATGTAATCCTCCCATTTATAAAATAATAAGATTGTGTTTATCACCTTACTGGTATTACTGGTAAAAATATTTATCGTGAACCATTAGAGGGCAGCACGATTTTATCTTTGGAGTTAGCTTTCACAGCATATAAATGCTTTTGAGTCCCAGGCTTAATATAAGCGTGATTAAAATAAACTATGAAGTTTTAAGTTGAAATTAAAATATTTCATTTGGAATTTTTGTAATATAAAAAATGTCGTAGCAAGATAAAAGTAAGTCTTTCTTTTCTTTTTTCCCTCCCCTTTTCTCTTGCTAACCACATTAGAACTTTTACAGAGTTTGAAAAGTTATACAACTTGATTCTAAACTTATTATTTGCCTTGATTTTCAGATAAAGAGTTACCTAAATCAGTGTTGTAAGATGTTCCATGTTAAAAGGGATTTGAAGACGAATTTTGGAAATGCTCTGTACAGTATCTCTCTTAATGATTCTGAAAGGTGTCATGAAGAAAACTATTTACCTAAGTGGTTCCTAACCCTAGCTGAACATTTGGCTTTCCTGGGCAGCTTTAAAAATTCTGATGCCCAGGCTTTATCTCAACTAATTAAATCAGAATTTCTGGCTGGGGAACTTGTACTCCAGCGTTTTTTTTTTTTTTTTTTAAACTTCCCCAGGTAATTCCAAGTCATTTAAATACTGTTCCCCACAACCCAGAAACACGTTACCCTCTATTAAAATCAAAGATGAGATGGTTTAAATAGTCATAGAACTCCTGAAAGAAATAAAGAAGAAGGTAAGAATTACAGTTAACCACACTCCTCAGGGACAGTTGTTCTGGACAGCCAGCTTCCTCACATTGCTGTGGATTCACTTTTTTTTTTGAAACTAAAACTTTACTTAATTCATTAATTTTGGATAGAAAATTTTCTAAAAGTTATAGCATATATATATATTTATATCCTTAAATAGAAAACGCAACAATTCTTATCTTAAAGAATCCTTTCTCTTAATTCATTGTCAGACTTAAAAAGTATTGTCATAAGCCTCATGAGGTATATACATGGTTTGTCCTTATACCAGATAATCCTAGACATCTGTTTCTAGAGTACCCAAGTCTGCTTTTAGTTACTTTCCAAATCCTTCTTGTCAGCCAGGTTGTCTTCTTATTTGTTGTTTATGTTAGTGTACCTTTGCATAGCAGTGCTTGCTCCTTTCTTTAATGCTTTTAAATTGCTATTATCTTGAAAACCGATAATAGAGTTTGAATTTGGGGCATAGTAAGAGTAGCAGGGCTTTAATTAGGCCCTAAAATGTCCCCTTAAGTGTGGAGTACATTGAGTTTTATCTAGTTGTTGAATTTTTTTACTTCAGAGTTTATTTTTTCTTTCATACATTTTGCTAAGAATCTGCCTCCTGAGTAGAATGAAGTGGCCAGATAGTGGAATACAGGTTTGGTGAATATCTGTGTATATATATATGTGTGTGTGTTTGTGTGTTACACATATATATATTTAACAAGATGAAGTACTTTGCTTGGGATTGGACAGAAATAACGGTTTTAATAAATTTCATGAAATCACTTCCTTGTATGTTAAAGGAAGCAGAAAGGATTCATTTGTGCATGGCTTTTTCTTTCGTTTGAATGTGAAGTTTTTCTTCCTCTTTATGTGTTTAAAAAAAAATGTGAAACATTCCAAAATGAGAAGATTTGCTAGTAAGTAATGCATACTTCTATGAAATTATCTGAGTTTGATAATTTTATTTATATAATTTCTACAAAGATGTTCCTTTATTGACTTGACTTTTTGCTTGGCATTGCTTTTATTCTTTCATTTAGAGTCCTTACATATATTTTTTTTCCTGTTCTTCTGTTATTGCTCTTTGTTTTCAGAGTCTCTTCTTGGGAACTGAAAAGGAAACTTTCTTTTCGGAACTTTTGATTTCTAGGTGTAACAATGTCTGTTCACTAATTTGAAGAAAAAAAGGAAGAAAAAAAATAAGATTGCACAATATTTTTCTTTAGAAGGAAAAAACCCGCCTTTTTTTGTGAGTTATAGATCAAAAGTCAACAGAGAAATGTTAGTTCCACATTAAAAATTTTCTAATACATATTACTGTCTGATATATAAGTAGCAAATATTCTACCTTTAATAGAGTTTAGTTAGAGATGGGGTTATTGTCTGTCAGCAGTATTAAAGAGAACTTTCTTTCTTTGGTTTGATGTGAATGAGTGACTTTTGAAACATTTTTGACTCTGACCTTTGCTAAGGAATTTTTTAAAATAGTATGACTCAGTACATACAAATATACATACATCCACACACCTACACATTTATACATATGTCACTAAAACAAAAGATTTATGAAGCAGTAGTATGCTTAACATCTGTATTATACTCTAATATTTTCTTATTTTGTTTTATTAAAAATTGTAGCTGTGGTTTATTAAATTTATTTCATGACCTGTTAATGGGTCATAATTTATACTTTAAAAAATATTTATCTAAAAGACTTCCAAGAATCAATTCAACATAAGATTCAATGTTACCATGACTCCATGCTCTAATAGAGAATCAACATTCATCATAGATCAGCTGGAATGATGTTAAATTAGGAATGATAATAGAAATTACCCCAAGACACCTGAATATTCAATTATCCCCAACATATCTGGAAGTGTTACCAGTTACTCAAAAAGTATAGAATCTCTGAATAAAATCTGAGATTTACTTAAAACTATTGTACCAGTGTTCAATTTCCAGCTTTGACCAGTGTTACTGTGTTTTTGTTAGTTGTTGCTAACATTAGGAAAAGCTAGATGAAGGGTATATGGGAACTTTGTACTATCTTTGCACTATATATACATATACATATATATTTATGTTACATAGAAGACATGTATATATTTTAATTTTTATAAGAAGTTAAAAGGTATAGAAGAGCATCTTTGAGTAGTGGCTCTCAAAGATGTCTAAAACCTTAGTGTTTTGTTTGGAACTTCTGTTGTCATACATTGATGATACTATACAAACTGCACTGTCCCTAACAGTACATTTTAATATGACTTTTATGAGTAAGAGAGAGAAGCTTAGTAAGCAGTATTAAAGTTGAGTTTATTAATCCTATTTGATAGTTACTTTATAGTTCTTTTTAGGAGTTTAGAACTAGGAGAAGAATTAGTAGAATAAATTCTTTAAAGAATATGCCAAATTACAGAGTGGAAGCTGGCATTTATTATCTTTTTTATAATTTCTATTGTGATGGAAAAATATAATGTTCACAATACCAAAGACTTGGAACCAACCCAAACACCCTTCAGTGATAGACTGGATAAGGAAAATGTGGCACACATACACCATGGAATACTGTGCAGCCATAAAAATGGATGAGTTCATGTCCTTTGCAGGGACATGGATGAAACTGCAAATCATCATTCTCAGCAAACTGACACAAGAACAGAAAACCAAACACCGCATGCTCTCACTCATAAGTGGATGCTGAATGATGAGAACGCACAGACACAGGGTGGGGAACATCACACATTGGGGCCTGGGGGGTGGAGGGTTAGGGGAAGAAAAGTGGGGGTGGGAGGATTGGGGAGAGATACCATTAGGAGAAATACCTAATATAGACGACAGAGACAATGGATGCAGCAAACTACCTTGGCATGTTTATACCTATGTAACTAACATGCATAATCTGCACATGTACCCCAGAACTTAAAGTATAATAAATAAAAAAATAATAATTTCTAGAAAACTGTAAAAGATCAGAGTCAGCAACCTGGAGCTCTGTGTTGGGAAAGGGGTAGTGGGGAGCAGTGTTAGTCAATTTAAATACAATAGGATTCTTTACAATGGTAAGCAAGAATAATGATCTGTATGAAGTGATGAGACGTTGGAAAATGTCACTCATTGGCTATTCAAAAATAGTTTACACCAGCTGAGTTAGAAACAAGAATATGGGATGTGTAGAATGTTTGGAAATCTCGGTCTGTGTTTTGTGTCCAGATCTGAACTATTACACCAATGAACTGCTCTTTCTTGGCTTGCTGCCTTTAGAAACTATTAGTTTCATCAAAAAACTCTTATTCAAGGCTGGCCTAGTCGCCCAGCACTTTGGGAGGCCAAGGTGGGAGGATTGCTTGAGGCAGGAGTTTGAGACCAGTTTGGGCAACATAGCAAGACTTTATCTCTACAAAATATTAAAAAGCAAGTTGCGCATGGTGGTGCAGGCTTGTAGTCCCATCTACTAGGGAGGCTGAGGCAGGAGGATCACCTGAGCCGACAAGCTTGAAGGTGCAGGGAACTGTGTTGGTACCACTGTCAGCCTGTGTGACAGAGAGAGATCCTGTCTCTAAAAAACAAAAACAAGAAAAGTCTCATTTGAAAAACAGAACACCCCTGAAAAACTCCAAACCTAACCCTTTTTAGAAAGTCAGGGTATAACCATTTACAGTAAAGAAAAAGGGTAATTTTAATGGCAGAGGTTAAAAGTTCAAAGAAAATTGCATGTTGGGTATTTTTTGTATACTTATCACCATGCTGACAGCAGTAAGGTGATTCAAGGGAAATACATGAAATTGCTCCTGCCCATAGGAATATCTGTTGCCTTCAGGGAGATAAGATGATAACAGTAAAAGTTATGTAGTCTGCTGTGTGTAGAACACTGCCAGTTTCTGTATACACAGACGTGGTAATTCTCCAAGGCATGTATATTTTATCCCCATTTTATGAAAAAAACAGAGAAGTTTAATTTGCTTAGTTTCATGTACGGTATGTGGTAAGTTATAGAATTGGATTGTAAATCTATTTCTGCAAAACTCTAAAACCCATTTATAAAATAATTTTGTTTTTGGATATTTTGGATACCATGAAGTAAGACAGTTGAAGCCTCACTTCAAAACATTTTTTTTCTAGAATAAAAATCACCATGAAATAAAATCATTCAAGAAAATACTAGGAATGATAGTATATGTGGGATGTAAATTTTCAGGGTATATGTTTGGAAACTTCAGAATGTTGATACTGCTAATTACCACCGATTTAGTTATTCTTTCTCATTTCCTTTTTAAAAAAATATTTTTATTTAGAGGTAATTAGAGATGCGCTGAAAGTTGTAAAAATGGCACACAGAAGCCCATGTACTCTGCACTCAGTCTCCTCCATTGCTTACATTTTACAAACTTGTAGGACAATATTTCAAACCGGTATACTGACACTGGTAAATGTGTGTGTTGTAGTTCTGTTTCATTTTATCACATGTAGATTCATGCAACCACTGTAGCAATCAAGATGCAAAACTTGGCCAGGCATGGTGGCTCATGCCTATAATCTCAGCTCTTTGGGAGGCCCAAGTGGGACAGATTGCTTGAGGCCAGGAGTTTGAGACCAGCCTGGGCAACATAGTGAGACCCCCATCTCTACAAAAATAAAAATAAATTAGCCAGGCATGGTGGTACATGTATGTTGTCCTGGCTGTTTAGGAGGCTCAGATGGGAGGATTGCTTCAGCCCAGGAATTTGAGGCTACAGTGAGCTATGATCACACCACTGCACTCCAGCCTGGGCAACAGAGTGAGACTATCTCAAAAAAAAAAAAAAAAAAAAAACAACATACAGAATTATTCTGTCACCACACTCTCACTCATGTTGTCCCTTACTAGTCTTTCCTTCACCCCTCCTTCCCTACCATCTTTAGCCCTTGGCAACCATGAATCTGTTCTCCATCTCTATACTTTTGTCATTTCAAGAGTATTACATAAATGGAATCACATAGTATGTGACTTTTTTGGTAGTACAGCTAGTGCTCGACTTACGAACACAATTGGTTCCGACAGACTGGTTGTAACACGATTTGGTCGTAAGTTGAGTAGGCTATATGCACGTGGAGATGGTAGTGCTGCCGGAAGCTGGTCCGCACTGTCGTACGCCCAGCTGGGCAACGTTTGCGCCGCTAGACGCAGAGCAGTCGTGGCCAGTGATTGTGGTCGTAAAGTCGAATGGTCGTAAGTCAATCAATACCTGTAGCCTGTGTTTCTGAGTAGTGTTCTGTGTACCACAGTTTGTTGAACCCTTCACCTATCGAGGGATATTTTGTTTTTCTTTACTTTTTAGGTATACAAATAAAGCTGCTATGAATATTTATGTATGGATTTTGTATGGACATAAATGTTTATTTCTCTGGGATAAATACATAAGAGTGTGATACCTGGGTTGTGTAGTAAATATGTGTTTAGTGTTCTAGGAAGCTACTACACTATTTTCCAGAGTTGCTGAACTGTCTTGCATCACAATCAGGAATGTGTGAGAGATTCAGTTTCTTCTCATCCTCCCCAGCATTTGTAGTTGTCACTGTTTTTATTTTAGTCATTCTGATAGGTGTGTAGGGATTATCATTATGGTTTTAATTGACATTTCCATAATGGCTATGGATTTTGAACATCTTTTCATGTGCGTATGTGTGTTTTTCTGGCTGTGTGTCTTCTTTGGTGAAATGTCTCTGTCTTTTGCACATTTTCTATGAAATTGGTTTGTTTACTGTTGAGTTTTGAGAGTTTCATATATGAATCCTGTGTTAGATGTGTGGTTTGCAAACCTTTTCTCCCTGTTCATGGTTTGTCTTTTCATCCTCTTAACATAGTTTTTCACAGAGCAAAAGTTTCTTATTTTGATGAAGTCCAGTTTATCAGTTTTTTTGAGTGTGCTTTGTGTGTCATGTCTAAATTCCCTCACCAAATCCTAGATCCCCAAAGGTTTTCTCCTAGGTTTTCTTTTAAAAGTTTTATGGTTTACATTTAAATTTGCAATTTGAGGTAGCTTCTTTTTATTAGGTGTCATGTTTGGGTCAAAGTTTTTTGTTTTTTGTTTTTTTTTGCCTATGGTTATCCAGTTATTCTGGCACCATCTGTTGAATAACTATTCTTCCTCCATTGAATTGCTTTTTTACCTTTGTATGAAAACAGTTGGCCACACTAGTGTGGATCTGTTTCTGGGTTCTCTATTATGTTCTGTTGAACTCTGTGTCTCTTTGCCAACTCCTCACAGTGTTGATTACTGAAGTTACATAATAAGTGTTAATATAGAGTGGTTTCTTATACTTTGTTCTCCTTTTTCAGAATTGTTTGAGCTTTTCTGCTTTCTTTGCCTTTCCATGTAAATTTTAGAATACATCTTATCTTGCTGTTTCACTGTCGCTTTCCTTGTATTTACTGCGGGTATACAGACGTACATTTCAATTTTTGTACTTTGATCTTGTGTCCTATGAACTTGCTGTATTAGTTCTAAGTAATTTAAAAAATATATTTCTTTCTACATAGACAATTATGCCATTTTTAAATAGGGACATTTAAATTTCTTTGTTTCTGATCTGCTTGCCTTTCTATTTTGATATGGTTTGGATCTGTCTTCCCACCCAAATCTCACATTAAATTTTACCAATGTTGGAGGCTGGGTGTGGTGGAAGGTGATTGGATCATGGGAGTGGTTTCTCATTAATGGTTTAGCATCCACTTGGTGCTGTTCTTATGAAAGTATAGCACCTCCCCTTCTCTCTTCCTCCTGCTCTGGCCATGTAAGATGTGCCTGCTTTCCCTTTCCTTCCCCCATGATTGTACATTTCCTGAGGCCTCCCAGAAGCAGAAGACTCAATGCTTCCAGTACATCCTGCAGAACCATAAGCCAGTTAAAAGTCTTATTATAATTTACCTGGTCTCAGGTATTTCTTTATAGCAATGTGAGAACTGACTAATACATGTTTCATTTCTTACCTTATTGCACTGGCTAGATCTTCAAGCACTGTGTTGTGTAAAAGTAGTGGGAGTGGACATCTTTGCTTCATTCTTGGTCTTGGGTGCAAAACATTCAGTCTTTCACCATCAAGTGTAATTTTAGGTATAGATTTTTAGTAAATATTTTAAATCCAATCAGACATGTTCTTCTTCCTAGTTTTCTGAGAATTTTTTATCGTGAATGGGTGTTGAATTTTGTTAAATGTTTTATTGCATCAGTTAACTGATCATATGATTTCTCTTTTTTGATCTGTTAATGTGATAGATTACATTGATTGAATTTTAAATATCGAACCAGCCTTGTGTGCCTACAATAGACAGTACTTGGTCATGGTCTAAGATTCTTTATGTATGTTGCTAAATTCTACTTGCTAATATGCTATTAAGGCTTTTTGTCTCTATAGTCATGAAGGATATTTGTCTATAGTTCCTCCCGAAGCCCCCTTTGGCATTCTTTTTCTGATTTTTTATATCAGGATACTATTGTACTCATAAAAAGAGTTGGGAAGCATTCTCTCCTCTTCTGTTTTCTGGAAGAGATTGTGCAAAGTTGACATTAAATCTTTAAAAGCTTGGCAGAATTCTTCTCTGAAAGCACCAGTGTCTGGAGATTTGTATGAGTTTTAAATTTATGAATTCAATTTATTAAATACTTATAGGGCTTTTCAAGTCATCTTCATGTTGGGTAAGTTGTGATAGCTTGTGTTTTTTGAGGATTTGGCTCATTTTGTCTTGAGTTGTCAAATTTCTGTGTGTAGAATTATTTTTAGTATTCCCTTATTCTTTTGATGTCTACAGGGTCTCTGTTGATATCGCTGATTCTTTTCTGACATTGATGATTTGTATCTTCTTTACTGTCAGTGTTGCTGGAAGTTTGTCAGTTTTATTATTCTTTTCAAAGAACCAAGATTTTGTTTAATTGCTTTTATCTATAATCTTTTTCTGTTTATTGAGTTCTGTTCTTAGATTTACTACCTTCTGCTTTCTTTAGATTTACTTTCCCTTCTTGTTCTTTGTTCTTGAGGTGCGAGCTTACATATTTATTTGAGATGTTTCCTCTTTTCTTTCTTTTTTTCTCAGACCATTCTTTATAACTTTTTTTTTTTTTTTTTTAAAGAAACAGGATCTTACTCTGTTGCCCAGGCTGGAGTGCAGTGGCATAATCATAGTTCACTGCAGCCCCAAATTCTGGGCTCAAGTGATCTTCTTGCCTCAGCTTCCAGAGTGGCTAGTACTACAGGTGCACACCTGGCTAATTCTGATGTATGTATTTAGTGTTACAAATTTTTCTCTCTTCGCCATCTCACAAATTTTGATATATCATATTTTATTTTCATTTAGTTAAAAAATTTCCCTTGATAATTTGTTAACCCCAGGATTATTTTAGAAGTGTAGTTTCGGCTGGGTGCGGTGGCTCACGCCTGTAATCCCAGCACTTTGGGAGGCCGAGGCGGGTGGATCACGAGGTCAAGAGATTGAGACCATCCTGGTCAACATAGTGAAACCCCGTCTCTACTAAAAATACAAAAAATCAGCTGGGCATGGTGGCGCATGCCTGTGATCCCAGCTACTCAGGAGGCTGAGGCAGGAGAATTGCCTGAACCCAGGAGGCGGAGGTTGCGGTGAACCGAGATTGCGCCATGGCACTCCAGCCTGGGCAACAAGAGCGAAACTCCGTCTCAAAAAAAAAAAAAAAAAGAAGTGTAGTTTCCAAGTGTTTGGAGATTTTCCCTGTTATCTTTGTTATTGATGTTTAGTCTGATTCCATCATGGTCAGTGAATATACTATGTATAATTTCACTTCTTTTAAATTTGTCAGGTGAGTTTGGTAAAACATACTTTTCAAAATCCATGTCTAATTTTTTGGTTTGCCTTCTTAGTTCCTCACTCTCCTGCTTTCTAGAACAAGCCCATGCAAACCTTTGGCTTACTAGAGGTGTTGTAGCATTTTATATGAGTGTATGTATTTATGCAAATCATATACTTTGCTTTCACTTCAGAATGTATTACGAGTTTCCATGTAACTAAGTGTACAACTGATAAACTTGCATGGTATTCTGCTGTAGTAATACACCATAATTTATTGTCATTTTTGTTGTGGAGTTTGTTTCTAGTCACCTTGAAATAACGCAGTAGCACAGAATACAAACATGGGGACATTTTCAAACACAACAGTAGTTCTTAGTCTGTGTTCCCATCTCTTTTCAGAGTAGACAAATACAGGTATATGGGATGTTGATCTTGCTTGGTGGGGCTCACTGGACCTCCTATTTTTAAATTGATACTGTCAGAGGCCATAAGGACCTCTTCCTTTATGATGACTACCTCTTAGCTCAAAACTATTACACTATTTGGGCTAACCCTCTGGGTACATGTACCATTCTGTATTAGATGGATATCGGGCATTTCAGAGGATACACAGATTCAGTGTCCCACTTCACCTAGCCTCTGCCCCATAGGAATGTGAACTCCTTGATTGGGACTCAGATGCAAGTGATTTCCTTCCAGTATGTGTATAATATGTGAGTGGGTGGCAATACTTAATGGAGTACTGTATATATAAGATTAGGGTCTTTAACATGTTTGCTATATTAATTAAAGGCAATAGTTACTGAGTGTGGAGGATCTTTACCTGGAATTTCATGTCTATTCCAAATTTAGTGGGAGAGGCTTTTGGGATTCTGGCATTTGCCAATGGGTAGAGGTTACTGCAATTTACTAAGATGGGAAAGCATTGAGAAGAAACAGATTTGGTGTGCAGTTAAGACTTTGGGGATAGACATGTCTGTATGGCATCCAAGAGGAGATGTCGAATATGTGTTTCATGTAGGAGACTGGACTCAGGAGAGATCTAGATGAGAGAGGTAACTATGGGAATCCATTGCATTTACATCACCCTGCAAAGCCCTACTCTTCCAGACCTCTGTTACTTCTCTAATCCACCTACTGCTCCCCATTGTTCCAACTTCACTGCAGTCACACTGACTGCATTTTCCAAACAAGTCAGGTATATGCCCATTTTAGAGGTGTTTATTTTCTGTTCCCTCTCATTTGCCAAGGTCTAATGTAACCTTTTCAGTCTGGCCTTTCATTTCACCCCAACCCACTCCACCCTATCCTACCCTAACATTGCCCACGCCTCTGCCCTGCTTTTTTCTCTATGCCATCTTGTTTCATCTCTATTAGCTTTGTATGGCTAAAGCAGATAAAATAAAGACAAGCAGTGATAAAAGAGGTAAAGCAGGAGAGGGTATGCAGAGACTGAATCGTCCAGTGCTGTTTTACAAAATTCAGTCTTCATTTTCAGAAGAGTGGAAGATGAAAAGTTTTTAAATGAAAGAGACCTGACCACATTTGTGTAGAGGAGCCATAGGAGAAAGGCAGGAGTGGTTATAGGTAGATCAGGTGGGAGATTATTGCAATAAAATGGAAACAAAACCAAAATAAAAACACATTTAGTGAGTGATCCAGGCATTCTCCTAGGTGTTGAAGAAACTAGGCTGGTTATCTCTCCCACTTAAAGAGTAAGTCTAGAAGGGTAGAGAAATGATTTCTTCTTAAAGATAAGTGCTCTAGAAGAAGAAGGTCATAGTATTGTGGGAGTATAAAGGAGTACATTTGATCCAGAGGTTCCAGGTTTGTAAACCAAGCTTAATATTTGAACAGCTTTCACAAAATTACTATTTAGAATTAGTCTCACAGAATTCTAAAATTTAGAACCCAAAGGGATGTTTATCTGATTTCGACTAGAGATTAGAAAATTTTCTATAGTGTGTTTTAAGAAATTTTAGTTTTTTTTGGATGTTAATAAGTATGGCGCACAAAAAGTAGTTAAATTTGGACAATACTAGATTAAACCAACGGTTTTCTTTACTGCAGAACTTTTCAGAATTTATGATATACTTAGGTACTTATAAGTCTTCTAGAAATGTATACAATGTGTAGCATTTTTCAGACTCAGTTGGCCATAGATCCTGTGACATTAATGAATGATCTGTGGATACAGGGGAAACTTTAGGAAATGCTGGCTGACATGATTTGCTCAAGATCTTAACAACTAGTTAAAGGTAAGCTATAATTAAAATAGTTTCATGACTTTGTCCTTTGAGTTTTCTAAGACATTTCAGCATTACCATATGAAACAGTGTTACCTATGAAACTACCAGGATTCTTTTTTTTTGTGGAGGTAGGGGGAGGGCGGCCTTGCTCTGTTGCCCAGGCTGGAGTGCAGTGGCACCATCATGGCCCACTACAACCTCCACCTCCTGGGCTCAAGCTGTCCTCCCTCCTCAGCCTCCTGAGTAGCTCGTTAATAGAGACCAGGTGGTCCAAGTGCCACTGTGCCCGGCAATTTTTGTGTTTTTTTGTAGAGACCAGGTTTCACCATGTCACTCAGGCTCCAGGATTCTTTTGGCCACATTTTAATACTACATTACATTTGGAATTATGAAATTATAAATTTGTCATAATATAACTTCATGTCACTCAGTGGGCAAGTATTGTATAGAGTTAGTTTAAGTCTATGTGAAAATTGTGACCTAGGAATGTGTAATGAAACAATACTTTTCTGGTTTTTTTTTTTAATTGCCTCTTTTTTGTGGCTTTGAAATATTAATACTTCATTTTAGCTTTCTTAGCTTTGATTCAGTCATTATTTTGGCAGATTATACTGTTTTAGAACTTATATATGGTAAAAATAATGGCATAATAAAAATGCAGCATTATTGATTTTCAATTATTAAAAAGAATGTTTGGAAAGTATTTCTAGTAACTACTTTTCATATGTATCTAGATGAGGCAGGGGTTGGCAGTCTAGAGCACACAGCTTTCTGTTTTTGTGTGTCCCATGATCTAAGGTTGTATATTTTAAAATCATTGAAAAAAATGAGTAGCTTGTTTTGTGTTGTGTAGAAATTATATGAAAGTCAGATCTCAGTGTCCGTAACAACAAAATTTTATTGGAGCACCATCACACTCATTTGTCTACAACTGCTTTCTCAATACAGCAGCAGCACTGAGAAGGTGTGACAGAAACCTTATGGCCTGCAAAGCCTAAAATATTTACTATTTGGCTCTTTTAAGAACGTTTGTGGACCCCTGGTCTATATTAATGAATAGTAGAGTTCATGGGATTATTTTATAAGTTTGGGTGTATGAAATATAGGGAGCTATGTTTTATATATAACCAGTTCTTTAAGTCGGTATCTTCTAATAATTTCCATTTATTTGTCCCTGCTGATTTTATTCTTTTTTTTTTTTTCCTGGTAGGAGCTGTATATTTTATTCTAATTTCATTTAATTTTCTTCTTTTTTCCTATTGATTAGTAAACAGTATATGATGTCATTATTGTTATAGGAAACACTTGGGGTTTGAAGAAGTATCTTTGTAAAATAAAGAGAAAATTTGAATAATTTTATATTTTCCTAATTACTTGATTGATGGGGAAAAAGTTGACTTTCGTAGGCTAAGTTCTTTTTAAAAATAATTATTTCAAATGATCATACTGACAACAGAATGTTATTCTTACTGGATTTAGTTGGCCCAAGGAAGTCATAATTTAGTTTGTTCTTAACACAACGGGAGTAAATATTCTTAGAATAGTTCACCTCTTTGATTTGAATGTTGTTACCAGTTTGTAAAATTGTAAGTATCTATTTGTATTCTATTTGATGTCTTTCTTATTGGTTCTTAAGAGGGTTTGTTAAATTTTTGTTTCCAAATATTGAATAATTTTGCCGTTTAATTTTTTCTTTTGCAAACTTTATGGTTTTGGAGAGGTAAAAATAGTATCACATCAGAGCAAGGGTAATGGAATTATTGATGCCTTGCTCAAACATCTAAAACATGAAATTTTTTTTAAAAAGTAACTTTAAATATTTAGGGGCCTGTAAGGTACTTAACACATCCTCTTCAATGTTAATTTCTAGTTTTAGTTGTAATGCAGATTATTTTCATCCTGAGTAATCTGAGAAAGTTGTCGAGTGTGAGGTTACCACATATGGCTTATTAACGCCTTACTATTAGTACCATCTTTTTTTTCTTAGGAAGGGTTAGCTAGGCCAGAATATGTTGCTAGGCTTCCACGTCTTTCATTTTAGCATCTCATTCCTCTCCCAGATCTTTTAGTAATTCTCCTTGTTAGCATAAATGAAACTAGGATCATGTCTTCTCTTCAAAGGGCATAGAAACAATTGTATACAATCTCCATGATTAAGGAATTTCTGGGTATTCACAAATTGTGTGCTGTTTTTCCTTTGTTAGATGAATTGAATAAAATACACTGTTACAGAAAATTGTCAAGTGGATTTAAAAACTCAAAGGAACTGGTGAAATTAGTGTATCACGGGAAAAAATTTCACTATTAAACCGTTAAATTGTTAAAACCAAGATAATGTTATCTAAATAATATTTCTTGAACTTTAACAAGAATTTGTGTGTTTTTGTTTTTGTATCAAAATAATGGCTATGTTTCATATGAGTTTTATATTAATTTTTAGCAACTAAAATAAATTGTGGCATCTTATAGAACCATTTGTAGGTTCAACAAGCAATTTTTCATGTTTTCAGAAATAGTTGATATTATTCAGTTTGGACAGTAATAACAGAGGTACCTAATGAGTTTTTAAAAATAAGTAAGCATGGGACAGTGACTGAATTCTTGAATGTCTTGGAAAATATTAAGTCTAGAACTTTAGTGGATGGAATTTTATTAGACTACCAGTGAAAATGCAATTATATTTAAAGTTACTCTGATGGACTCATTTTTTTAAAAAGAGTATTTCAAATGACCTGAGTCATATTCTTAATAGATTTAGTTGATACAACTAGTAAAAAATTAAAGATTGCTTTTTTAATATGATGTAAGCAATACCAGTCACTGGTATTGGGATAGAAATAGCTATTACTTGAAAAAGGGAGAGTAGTCAGTTACCTACAGTCATATAGGTTTGTAAAATGCTGGATCAAGGAAATCTAAATATTTTCTTCTTGTAGAACTTCTCAGAGCCTTTACTTTTTTATTTTTGTGGGCATTTAATTTTTTGTATTTTATACATTATAAAATCTAAAAAAATTGAAATTTTAATGTAAATATACCACCCCTGCATGCCAGTTACCCAGTTTTTCCTCTTCCCCCTGCCAGTTTCATGTATTATCCTTTCAGGATATTCTCTGAATATGTATATGTATATGTATTTACTTTAAAGGGGTGTCTTTCTGTAATAGTATTCTGAATCTGTTTTTTTTTTCTTTGAAAAATACCTTAAACAGCATTCCATGTCAGTGTATAAGAAGCTGCATTATTCTAACTTGACTATGAAAATTTTAGAAACCCTGCAACCATACAGGCATATTTAACTTCCTACCCATCCTTTTTACTGTAGTTGTCGTTTGTGTTAACATCTATATAGATCATAACTTCCACAATGTTACGATTTTTTGCTTTAGCCTATATAGCTTAAAGAAATTAAGGGAAAAAGGTCTTGAATTTGTTTGCCCACATATCTATCATTTCTCTCTCTCTCTGTCTCTTTTTTTTTTTTTCCTGAAGATCCAGGTTTCTGTCTGGCTTTACTTCTCTTCAGCTTGAACATCTTTTAGTATTTCTTGTAGTGTGGGTCTTCTGGCAATGATGTTTCTGAATTTTCATTTACTGAAAATGTCTTTATTTTGCTTTCAGTTTTGAAGGATATATTCATTGAATGTAGAATTCTGAGTTGACAGGTATTTTTTCTTTCAGCATTTTAGAAACTTCAAAGATGTCGTGCCCTCATATTTTTCTCTTGAGAAGTCAGCCATCATTTGAATTGTCCCCATATAGAGTATGTCTTTTTAGTTTTTAGCAGTTAAACTATAACATATCTTGTGTGATTTTCTTTATGTTAATCTAGTTCATTGAGCTTCTTGAATATGTAAGTATGCCTTTTACCAAAGGAAAGTTTTTGGGTCTTATGTCTTTTGATATGTTTCTGCTCCCTGCTTTTCCTCCCCTCCTTCCGTTAGACTTTTTAATATGGCCTAAGAGGTCCCTAAGGTTCAGTTCATGTTTTTCTACTTCTTTTATTCTAATTTCTCTCAATAGTATAATTTCTGTTGATTAATCTTGATTCCTTGGTCATCTGCTTTGGCTATTATGTCTGTCCAGTGAATTTTAAATTTTTATATTATATCTAGAATTTGTTTGGCTGCTTTTTATAGTTACTGTTCTCTCCTGAAATTCTCCATATATTTATTCATTAAAAGCATATTTTCTTTGATCTCTTTGAACATAGTATAAACTTGCTGCTAGTTTTTTTTCTTTTCTTTTTTTTTTTTTTTTTTTTTTTTTTTAAATGCAGTCTCCTCTGTCACCCAGGCTGGAGTGCAGTGGCACAATCTTGGCTCACTGTAACCTCTGCCTCCTGGGTTCAAGCGATTCTCGTGCCTCAGCCTCCTGAGTAGCTGGGATTACAGCTGTGTGCTACCACACTTGGCTAAGTAAAGCGTTGGGGTTACAGGCGTGAGCCACTGTATCCGGCTTTTTGCTGCTAATTCTAACATCTACATCATTTCAAGGTAGCTTTCTGCTGACAGTTTTTTCTCTTGAGAATGGATCATTTTTTCTTGTTTCATGTGTTGAATAATTTTGGATTATATTCTGGACATTGTAAACTATATGCTGTAGAACCTAGATTCTATTATGTTCCTCTGAAGTAAGAGAGAGGGAGAGAGAGAGAGAGAGAAAGAGTGTGTGTGTGTGTGTGTGTGTGTGTGTGTGTGTGTGTGTGTGTGTG